CTGCTGTGAGGTTCTGTGGTCAGCTTGCTAGCTGGACTGGAAACTCTACCTCTAAACAGGTACAGAATGACTTTTACACTGTAAGTTGGTCAACAAGTAGATTGTAAATTTCACACAATAACTGCATCCAACAGTGGCTGAGGCCTGTATTTATCTCAGTGGCAAGGCTTTATTTTGACAGGCTCATGTTAGAGACAGGCTTGTATATCTAATTCCCACTGTTCCCCACTTAATGTAAACTCATCACTTCCTCCATTGTCGTCTGTTGTGTAGATACATTCCACTGTTCTAATTTATTCACTACAGCAAGAGTCATGCCAGGTGTTTCACTTTTCCTGTGTCCTTGAACAGTTACCTCATAATACTCTAGTATTTTCACATTAAAATCCTTCCCTTTATAGGTAGGCTTTTAATGTGAAAGCATGGAGCTTTGTTGGTTTGATTGAGTTGTTGCTTTATTAGTAACAACCTATCAGTAACCAACCTTTATTTGTTTGTGCTGGCTATTAGAGACATATGAGAGTTTCTTAGAACACACACAGTCTCTCACTGGTGGCATTTGTCCTCATCTGTGTTTGTATGTTCACCTTTCACATTATTTTCTTCACTGTATTTGGCCCTCAGGGCCTTTATTGCTTTTATTTGTTTCAACTTCTCATTCTCCTAAACTCACTCATCAGGGAGAGGTAGGAATCAGTTCCACAATAATCTTTGAAGCCCCGACTGGAGAAGTAGCCTCGTCCCACCTGGAGCTGCACAACGAGGGCAGTGCAGCCATTTTCTACAGCTGGCAGCAGCTTCCCCTTCCACAGCACTGTCCTAACCTGCAATCACAAACAAAGAGTCCACACTTCTACTTCAGCTCCCCCTCCGGTACACACGCACACACACACACACAGATATAACCCTGCACCTGCTGCCACCACTCTTACGTCACGCACCGTTTGTCTGCAGGTCAGCACATCATACTTTATCTTTCAACCATTACTCAACTCGCCTTTTTGCTTTCCTTCCCCTCGCACCCAGGTGTAATCCTTCCAGGTGATACCCTGCGGGTGGAGTTCATGTTTAAGTCAGAGGAGCCAGGCATCAAAACTGAACTGTGGCAGCTCAACACCCACCCTGTGCTGCTGCAAGGAGCCTCCCTGCAGGTCACGCTGAAGGGTGTGGCTCTCTACGAGGACAATACCGCAGACCAGAGGCGTTTCATAGAGGTGGTGCACAATTAAACTGCATGTTTGGAAGTGAGAAAAGATGGCATTGAGACTTAAATTAAGAGAAACCAATTTGCTTTTTTTGTCTTTGTTTCTGAATGAGCAGATGAAACTGGAAAAAACAGCAATAGTAAAAACATGCCTGTCAGTTGTGTACGAGGTGCTACGGGGGGTCCACACCCCAGAGAGACCCAGCTCTCCTGCAGAGCTCTACATCACTGAGGAACAAGTGTTTGTAAGGAAAAACCCCAAGGTAAAAGTTTACAGATGGGAGCAATTTTCTTTAAGCATCAGTAAATCAGTTTTATTTTTTGTACAAACCCTCTTTAGGACCTTCAGCAGTGCCAACAGAGAAAGATCCTATGAAATATATAATGGTCTTGTTAAACATATAATGGTCTGCTTTCCTTTGTTCCATATGTGTTTGAGCCATCGTGCTCGTTATACATCAGAGTGGCTTGATTTCAATGTGAGATGACTTGCTAATACTGTAGACCCATTCATTGGGTTGTTCTGTTTGACATTTCACCGACTATAGCAGGAGTATGAATAGCCCATTGTGTTGTAGTCCTCATTCATTTAGCGCTCCACAGTTATATTATTGCCTTCATAATGCCCAATTTGCTATTAGCTAATAATAGATAGCTAATAATAGATCATAACTGCTAATATCTTAAACCGGTCACTACTGCCTCGACACTGTGTAAAATGCTATGTTCTCATGGCAGTGAACTAAAGACCATAGCTCTAACTGGGTTATGTGGGAGGCTCATTAGTGCACTCTCTGGTGAATATAGAGCATGACTGTCTTAAAAGTGGCCTGAGCTAATTCCCAGTAGATACAGGAGGGAAACAACACTGGCAAAGTGTACTCAAACATCAAGATTAAATTATTTTTTCTTATTTTCAGTAATCTAACCCATAATTAGGATAAAAGGGGGACTTATAGTCACTAAGTCACATGTGTCATTACCAAAGATTAGGATCATTACAGCTCTCTTGACCTTTTCACGAGATCACACCAAGCTAAAAATAATATGGTCTAATCCAACAGCCCTGCAGTAAGCCTTCATGTAGGTCATAAATGTTCAGGTTTTGTTAGAACTGCACACAAACCGCTGGTTCAACAGTATTTTGGTAGATGCAGTTTGTGGTGCAGTTAAATATTAATTTCATTTAAAATTTAATTTAATTTATTTGTTTATATAGCACTTTACAACACCCATGGATGCTGAAAGTGCTTCACAACAAAACAAATAAAAATAAAAGCAGAACATGTTAAGACACATAAACTAACAAAAAGGAAAACAAGTTAAAATTATACAAATTTAAAACCAAGGTCTGTAAGCAACTATAAAACTCTTGTACAATTAAAATGTGTCAAATTACAAACAGAATAGGATTATCATGTTGTATTACACTGAGAGGTGTTTCTTTTATTTTGCCCACCCCATATTTTAGCAGTTGGGCTAAATAACAGATACAGGATTTATTGAAGGACTGCTGAATTAGGTGGATTTAGCTATGTGTACCTAATAAACTGTCCACTAAGTGTAAGATACTGCTCCATACACTGTTACAGTTGCAGTACATTGATGAGCCAGTGGAAGCTCTAAAGACACTGTGGCAAGAAGTGAATCCAGGATGCACCTGGGATCTCTCTGTTGATACACTCCGACAGGTAAAGACGTTATCTGGTGATGTGGTACATAATAACACTTGGTTAGTAGTTGATAGATGAGAAATGAACAAGAGTCCTAGTTGCCTTTCTTGGATTTATTAAGCATGCCATCTAATTTATTCAAAGATTCTGAGTTCTAAAGCATTCCTAACTGCATGTCACCCCACTCTGTAGCTGTACAAAGGAAACATACAGCAAAAGGAAAACTGATTTTGCTAAATGAAATAATGCTGAAAAAAGACATTTGTCTCCACAGTAGTACATTTACCAGGGTGATTCAAGGTCATGGTCTCAGCGACCTCTTTGATTACAGTCTATTTTTTTGTACAGTTTCATCCCATGATGATATGATTACATACAAAGGACTAATTTGACAAATTTGTCCGCTCATTTGTTCCCATACTTAAGGTTGTTCTGTCTCTACCGGAGCATGAGTCAACTCAGGGCACCCTCACCAGAGAACAGAGCCTGAACCAGCTCAATTCCCTGCTTCTGCAGCTGTCTGCACCTTCTGAACTGAAGCGCTACCATCTAACAGCAGCAATAATAGGGTGAAGCACACACACAAGTTGTGTACATTGCTTTCATATAATCCTTCTCTGTCATACACACACCTACATCCCACACCTGCGCCCTCAGTGCAACAGGCTTAGCGGTTATGGTGGTATGTGCTGCCCCCTGCAGGCAGCAGCTGTGGGTGATACTGCTGGACACCATGGCCGGTGAGGCCATGCGGCTCAGAAACCTGCTGGGGGTCCCAGAGAAAAAGGCATGGACTGAAAACAAGGACAAATCCCAACTCCCAGATGCTGGTGAGACTACCACGCTTTCAATCATACATAGGTTGGTGAAGATAATGTTACTATTTCCAACCATATTATTATGCAACAGATTTGGCTGATGACATAATTAAAGATGAGAAGAGTGACAAAAAGAGAGGATCATCTGCCAATGAGGAGAACGGTGGGGCAAAGTCCAGACTTAAAGATGACAACAGAGGAGAATCCAAGTCCCCAACAACTGAAAAATCAGTGGAGGTGAGGTGAAAAGGTATATTTGAGAAAGACGGTATATGTTTGTTGTGACAGAGAATTCTAAAATGATTTATTGCAGCAGATTCAAAAGTTTTTTTTAAATGTGAGTATGAATGAAGTATCCTGCATTTACATGATTCATCACTTCAGTTCAGTCATGAATCACCTTCACCCCGTCAAGCTGTCAGTTCATTTATCTGCCATTCATCAGGCTCCTGTTGTCTTGTTACTACCTCCTCAGCCACCTATACAGGTTGTTTCTCAGTTGTACTGTATAAGCCTACCTTCATGTTCTATAGGCTAATTTCCTTAAACGATGTCTTATAAGTGCTGCCTTCTGTTCTCCACAACACTGGTGGCTTTTTATGTACAGTATGTATGATATACTGACCACATGATCTGTAGTGTTAAACCAGCCATTCTTTAGTCATAAGGCTCTGCAACCAGTGCTTTTTCCCCAGAGAGGCCATTTTAGCAGCTTACAGCTGTACCACCAGAATATGGTAGAGGACATTCATGTTTTTGCAGTATTACTGTTTGGGTGAGATAACAGGCAAACAAATGTTACTTAGTGCAGATTCATTTTAATGCAGACGACTGTTTTCCTGCTTCCACCCACCATGTGCTCATCCTTTTTATACCCAGTCACTTTGCACAGTCCTGTTCACTAATCTGAATTTCAGCAACTTTTCATCTTCAGCATAGGGGCTGTGTTGTTCAGATATAGATGATGAGATGTTGTGTCCTGTAGTCATGTCGGTCGCCACATACTGTAAACATGTGCCAAGTGTGAATCTCTTTTCTAATGGTTTGTGTTTATGTTTGTCGTCAGCCATCAAAGGCAAACAGCAGAATCTGAAATTTAGAAATAGACTAGAGACCCAGTCTTGCCTGTATATTTGGTGGAGTGATTTTCTCCACTCTGTGATGGTTGAGTCATAGATAGGGTACAGTGTATTACTCACAGGGTACCATGGTAACAGAACACTGAGAAAATGTGCACCTGCTCTCCAACTGTGAGCACAGGGTGTGAATTAAGAGCACCTGGGCTACTCCAAGACATCCGTGGTACTGTAAACATGTGCCAAGTGTGAATCTCTTTTCTAATGGTTTGTGTTTATGTTTGTCGTCAGCCATCAAAGGCAAACAGCAGAATCTGAAATTTAGAAATAGACTAGAGACCCAGTCTTGCCTGTATATTTGGTGGAGTGATTTTCTCCACTCTGTGATGGTTGAGTCATAGATAGGGTACAGTGTATTACTCACAGGGTACCATGGTAACAGAACACTGAGAAAATGTGCACCTGCTCTCCAACTGTGAGCACAGGGTGTGAATTAAGAGCACCTGGGCTACTCCAAGACATCCATTGTACACACACACACACACACACACAGCTATATGTTTACTTAAACAATAGAGGATGTCTAATATATGTGGGAGGTTGTTCTTCATGATTTAAGCTGCATACGACCACCGACTCACTGTAGTACCGCCAACCCTTCTGCATGCTCAGTAAAAACTCCAGCAAATACTAATATCTTTCTGTTACACTGTCTGTCTCATATCTGTCCACCTTGTGTAAAGGAGAGCAAAAAGAAGGGAAAAAAGAGGGATGAACTGGGGAAAGGAAAAACAAGGGGAAGGCCAGGAAAGGAATCAGTCCCGCTGACTGAGGCCTATCTAGTGAGCACATCAACAGTCTCCGGCCAACAGCCACTTGACCAAAATGTAAAGCCAGAGGTGATGAACATTTACACAAGGCTCCTGCACAGAAAGGCAAGTCATTTTCTTCCCATACAGTTTTGATTTTAAAGGGGCAGTCCACTGATCTTGCACAAAAATTTCAGTTTGATTCTCTTCACTTAACCAGTGAAAACAGTTGCAGGACCTTATTTGACACTGGAGGAGTTTTCAAAAGTTGGACAAAATAAACCCAACAATGTTGGTTGGGTTTTCTTGGACTGGACTTCAAAGTTTTAACAGAAAACCTGCTTTACAAACCAGAAGCTTGACCTATACTTGGGGTTAGAAGTTGGTACACTGTAGCTCAGCCTCTGCTTGTTTAATTGTGATGTTTGCTTTAAAAAAACAACAAAAAAACATGGCTTTTGTGAATCCACCAACTTTATGGACTTTTAAGTTATTCCAGTCTTAAATCTATCTGTCTGGCAGGTTTATGTTCTGATGGAAGACCTGGTGGATTCCCTATGTGACCTGATGGATGAGAGAGATGAGCAGGACCCACACTGTCACCATACAAAAGAGACAGGAGCTCCACTTGATATGTGGTTAGATGTAATAAAACATGTCTCATAGGATTCCTATACATATATTTCTGCCTCAGAACATCACAGAAGAAATACAATTCTTCATAAAAATTTAGTAAACCAGAAAGACCACCTCCATCCATCCACCAAAGTGCTGCCTTGGTGCCAATGAACAGCACTTGTGCAGTACATACTAAGTGCCTGTCCCTTTCACATACTGCAAGAAATTAATGGTCTCCATATCCATTCAAATTCCTGCAGTCTGATAGGACCAGGATCTCTCTAAGTGTCAGTCAGCATGGTAATACATATGTCTTGTCCAGGACATATGAATACATTTCTTTGCACTGAGGAGACCATAAGACAGGAGATGATGATGAGCACTTTGTAGGTTTTTTTATGTTTGGGACATACCCAGAATAAAGTTGGGTCTGCTTTCCTTGGACTTTAAAAATCTTTAAATAAATGTGAGTATTGCCAAATGGTTGTACTTGAGGGCATGTGGCATAACTTGAAGAAAAATCTGGTGGTGATAACCCTGGAATGATTTTATGTAGATTACCTCGTTAACAGTAAAATGTGTAATACTGTATTAAACAATGCATGACATTAATAGAACAGATCTAAACATATTTCAGACTTTTTTCTGTTGTTATATCAATACAATATTTGTTCTTCTGGAGCAATATTTATTCTGCCTCAGTCACGCTTTCCCACTCACACCAACGGATGATAGTAGGTTAACAGCGGCGCTGACTCTGCAGGCGACGCGTCCCCGCCTCCCGTTTTACGCTCCCCGTTATGACTGCTGTGCTGTGCGTGCCTAGCCTGCCGGTGCTCTGTGCGTGCGTGGATGGGGCTGCCTGAGAGGGAGAGAGTGAGCCGTATGCTGTGGCTTATCCTTGTCTTATGCGGATTTCACCACTGACTGATTGCCCGAGCAGCTCGCATCCTCCGGGGTAAACCGGGATTTATCCGCTGACATCCCCATTCAGGGATCCCCAGAAACACTGTGTTCGGCTCTACTCTCACGTTTAGCGGGTAGGGGTGTGGGGAGGATCGTTGTGGTTGCCCTGCTTAGCCGATCCCAGCGGGGTAATATCGACGCTGAGGATTGGGAGCGGAGAAAAGCAGAGAGGCGAGGATGATCAGTGGAGAAGACGAGAGATGAGCGATGGACAAGGTAAGGCGCACGGTGTTGGAATGACCGGGAGACGGTCCTGGGGCTGTCTGGCTGACAATTCTCTTAAGTGTGTGTAGCCTTTATACATGCACGTTACATGTAGCCTTCTGAGATATAATACCAACCGACGTCTAGGAGGCAACTCAGCACAGTAGCCGGACTGTGCCACACATGGCAACCCGCACAGGGAACCCACCGCAAAAGGGAACGCTGGGTCACGCATTATACAGACCGACCACGGGCGCACACTGCTCTCCATCCCTACTTGAAAAAATACAGTATACACCTGATTCCACAGCACGCATGCGCATCCTGAAACGTGGCGTAAGTTCTTCGTGTTTGAGCACTTTGACGCATCTGTCCGAATAACGTCAATAAACCTGACTATTTTAGTCTGTGTGGTAAAAGTGGCTGGGCTCAGGCCTAAGTAGATTTTTCTAAGTGATCATTTTGATAAGATTTTTGAAGTTATTCGTGTAAAACAGACAACTGCCTCAATGGAGATCAGAGAATCACGACTCGAGTTGATGATTTCATCAGGTGACTCGCTGGTCCATACTGTTTAGTGACTGACTGCTGGCTCATAGTGGGTTTGTATATACGTTATTACATCCAAATGAGTCATTTTCAGCCGTGATTCAAAAATGGGAAAAAAAAACCACCATGGGGGCCGTCAGAGCTGTCCCATTATTCACTGAGCAGCTCCACAGTTTGTCCCTGGATGACTTCCTCACAGTCTGTCTCTGTGTTGCTCTGGGACGCAATCAAATAGACACATGCTTATTCCAGGATACATATAATTTGCATTTGGGATTTTATAGATACACAATAGCCACACAAATCCCTCCTTCACTCACACTACACACTATACACACTAGGGTTCCTGCTACTGCCCCTTGTCCACTTAGGTCAACAGTCACTATTCACAAAGACAGATCATAGCATATTACTCCCCCACCGTGACTCATCTGTTGTGGTGTGAGGGTCACATAAAGGGATACAAAGAACTATAATTTCAATCACCTCATACAGTAAACAATACCAGCCTTTTATAAGCTTAATTTGTGTGTGTGTGTGTGTGTCCAAGCAGAAGATGATTGTGCAGAAATGTGATACTGGTTGAAGTTGCTGAGCTTCACTTTCTTCAGTATGCCCTTCAGTCTCTCTCTCTCCCTCTGTTTTTGCACATGCACAAACACTGGGACTCATCCTCCGCTCTGAGTTTTCTATCTGTGTCCCTGCTGTGTGCATCTCAGGCCCCCTGTGCTTCTGCTGATGTTTGCTTTTTGGCAGAGCGGGGCATCCTGTGCTTCAGCGTGGTAGCTTCACTGAACTGTTGTGGGAAAGCAGATAACTGTGAAGAACAAAATAATACACAGTGATCATTATTATAGCAGTAGCAATCTGTTAATGATGTTCTTATATTCAGATGTGTTCTTATATACATGTGGATTACTGAACGGGTTTTCTGCCCAGGGGTACAAAAGATCCAGGTGTTCATAAGCCACAAGTCTGTGTTCAGGAGTCATATTCTGTCCATGACTGAATATGGTATAAGATTATTATGTTATTGTGTTACTGTTACTACAAAACAGGATTTAATTCTCATGCATTCCTGTGAGTTATAAGTGACTATTAATCATCATCAAGTAAAATGTTGTTTTATTATTCAACAAATTGTTATACACATGATAATGTATAGTTTTGGAACATTGGCAAGGTTCAACTAAACCTTGCCACCACACACTGTAATGACTTAGTTTTTAATAAGAAAATACATTTAAATTTTAGAAACTGGATAAATGAGCTTCACCTTGTCCTTCAAAATTTAATTTCCTATAATAACGAGACACATGTGATTTGCGATATTGTAGATTTGAAAAGTATATCTGTCTTTAACAGTCTGATGAGAAGAGGGTTAGTTTAGTGAGGTCGCCCAAGTTTCAGTTTTAGTTTAATCAGTGTCTCTCGGTGTCTGTGAAGGCTTTGTAGTGGCAGGCAGAGGGAGAAGTACATGAACCCATAATGATCAGTTCCTTTGTGCCTCCTCTGAAAAACCAATTTGGAAGAGAAAAATGGGTTGCAAGTGTGTGTCCGTATGCACACACACACACACACACACACACACACACACACTACATGTGTGTTGGCCCAAATAAAATAAGCCACCAAGAAGTTTAATCAGACATCTGAGTACCAGTGCTTTTGTTTGACCTACTTCCTTCTGAAGGGGCACCAACTGTGAGCCACACATTCACCCACGATCGTCACTCATCATTTATTCATGCTGAGTGTATTTATATTGACTCAGAGCAAGAATATGAATCAATGAGTGCAGCACTTACCTTGACTGATAGTGTGGTTCAAGTGATGTCGGTTATTTGGTCCACCACTTTACTTTACACTAAAATATCTCAATTTGATTGGCATGTGACCTTCATGGTCCTCAGGGGATGAACTCTAGTGACTTTGGTCCTGCTAAAAGCTCATTCGGCATTCTTTATTGGTCCCAATTTGTGAGCAAATATAGGGTTAAACAAAAAACTGGGAGAAAGTTTTAGCCCAAAGCACAGAATCTATAGAAAATGTCTTGATTTTGTGTTGGGGGGTGGAGGGATGTGGGAGCCACGTGGTCAGATTTTGAAACCTTTGATTAATCATATTAGCTTATAAAGAGCACCAAAGTCATACTTTTAATTTATACTCATGTATTGCCTTCATCTTTTTCGTACAGGGGCGTCCTGTAACTCCTGACAGAGAAGAAGAGCCTTCATTTCAGTAGCTACCTCTCCTCTCCTCTTTCCATCCACACTCCCCCTTTCACACCCTTGTTTGCTTTTACGTTTTATCCCTCCACAACTCCATCATCTGTCACCATGACAACCTCAGCCCTGCGCCGGCAGGTGAAGAATATTGTGCACAACTATTCAGAAGCAGAGATCAAGGTATTGTAAATAAACCGTGTTTTCTTTCACTGATGTGCAGTAAAGCAGAAGCCTAAAACAGATCAGAGGGGAAAAAAATCTCATATTTCTTGATTTGTCTTGGGTTGTGGATAAATATGCTTTGACACTTGTAGTCTTTCACTTTTTATTTGTTTCTCTGGGCGACATTATACAAACATTATATGCATGAAATATAAGCATGAAAAGAAATGGGTACCATGGTTCCTCTGCTGGCGACAGGTTCGCGAGGCCACTTCCAACGATCCATGGGGCCCGTCCTCCTCTCTCATGTCCGAGATTGCCGACTTGACCTTCAACGTGGTGGCGTTTGCTGAGGTCATGGGCATGGTGTGGAAACGCCTCAACGACAGCGGCAAGAACTGGAGACACGTTTACAAGGTGACACAAGATTTTACTGCTCAGTTTACATCCTGTCTGTGTGTTTTACTTCCACTCTCCTAGTTTTCTCTAGACTGAACTGTGTTAACATTAGCTTAGCTCCAACTGCTGGTCAGTCACCGCTAAAGGTGGTAAAAGTACACATTTAATACTCAAGTAAAAGTGCAAGTACTTGCCTAAAAAGTACTCCACTACAAGAAGAACTACCATTTCAAATACTTGTACAAAGTACATGCTCTAAAATTCAAGTACTATTAATAACATGAATGTGCAAATCTGGGCCACGTTTGTTCAGGAAACATTGAAGAAAAGTTGAAAAATAAGGCAAAGAAATGTTTCTATTAATTAATGAAAAATAAGCATATATGTTACTATATAGTGACTTGTGTGGAACAAAAGGTGGAGCCAGTTTTAATCACTTTATGCATGGCCAGGTGGTTGGTCCATAGAAATACATCTTCATTTACTGTTTGACTGTATTTTGCATTAAAAATCTGAATCTGCAACTCAAATAAATGCGGTGAGTAAAAAGTAAAAAGTATCTCCATCTAAAGTGTAGTAGAGTAAAAGTAAAAGTGATTTAAAATGGAAATACTTCAGCAAAATACAGGTACCTCAGAACTGCACACAAGTACAGTACTTGAACAAATATACTGCTGTTTCCCTTAGAAGTTCAATTTAATAACATTTATGCTTTTTTTCTTTTGCTCTTTACAAAAGCTGATGTCAGTTACAGTGTGTAGAGTAGAGATGGAACAAAATACTGATTTTCTAGTATCAGTGTGGTAATCGGCATTTGCCTTCAGGCTCTGACTCTGTTGGATTACCTGCTGAAGACGGGATCGGAGAGAGTGGCTCAACAGTGCCGTGAGAACGCCTTCACCATTCAGGTACTGGACTGTAGCTAGAGGAGAGCCTCAGCAATGACCTCAGAAAACCAGCTGGTTTATTGTTTATGGTTCATGTGGATCATCATCATAGTTGTAAAACAAAATCAGAGAAGTATAAGGACTTGAATTCTGCATTCTGCATTTTGTGATAATCTCTACAAGAGCTTAAAAATGTCTTTTATCCATGTGTGGTTCAGACGCTACGTGACTTCCAGTACATAGACCGTGATGGCAGAGACCAAGGGGCCAACGTGAGGGAAAAATCACGGCAGCTGGTGTGTCTCCTCCGAGATGAGGAGCGGCTACGCCAGGAGAGGAGTCAAGCCCTTAAGACCAAGGAGCGAATGGCTGGGGGAGGCAGCGGAGGGTGCGGAGGAGTGTACGGAGGTATACCCCCGTCTTACCACCCAGGCAGGCGAACAAGTCAACCCAGCATGGCTGTGCTGTATGGGGAGGAGCTCAGCCGCTCCAGAGGCTCTCCGTGCTCCTTTAACTGTGAGTGTTGTGGCTAAAGTCTAAATGCGTGTGGAGCACTGACTGCCTTATTTTATGTGCTGCCAATATGTGAATAAATGGATGAAGAATTAAAAGCACACACTTGTTATTCAGGCTTTTCACGACTAATGAGATGCACTTTGCGCTTCCGCCCATCACAGTGCAATATCGATACTGCAGCGTAGGCCTGAAAATATTTAAATCAGCCCCACGCTTCCTGTGCTCCACGTCAATCTGACCATTTCTCCTCACACTCTTTATTCCTCGCTCACTTGTTCCCTCTGCAGCCTCATCCTCATCTCCTCGCGCCACCTCAGACTTGGAGCATGCTCGACCTCAGACTAGCGGTGAGGAGGAGCTGCAGCTCCAGCTGGCCTTAGCCATGAGCAGGGAGGAGAGTCAGAAGGTAAATCAGCACACAAACACACACACACACACACACACACACACACACACCCTTCCCTGTGTTACACACACGCACACAACCTTGCATTCAAGGCGCACACGTGTCATTGCCTCTTGATGATTCCAATAAATAAAATTTGGTCACAAATATTGTGAACATTCGCCCACCTTCATCTAGCTGCCCCTTCCTTCCCGTTACCATAGAGATGGAAGAAGACACAACTACAGATTGCTTTAAAAGCCTTAGCCAAAAGGAGCATGAGCAGGTACACACACCTCACTCCTTACAGCTAGCTCTTTGTCAGCGTTTATTCACCTTCTTAGTTCTGTCTTTTTTGTAATTTGATGTATGGTTCATCTGTCTTGACTGAAATGCTTTGCTGGGGATGACTAATGACTTCCTTTCCAACTCTTTCCTTCCTTATGTTCTTCCTTATTGATTTTTCTCCTTTCCAGGATATCGACTATACAGATTTTGTTCCCCTCATCCTTTCTGCTCCCCACTGATAACAGAGCACCAATATTAATGTCTCTTTTTCTCATACTAGTATTATTAAAACTTCAGCTTGTAATTTTTGAAGATCTCCTCTGCATCTTCTCTCTGCTTTACTGTAAAACACCTCTTTGTCAACTAAATATTTCACCAGCACAAAAAAGCTAACGGCACCACATTTGTTTCACTGGACTAAGCCAAACTGTGTTTCCCTAATGTGTGTGTGTGTGTCCACGCTCTTTGCCGTGGTGGTAATGTTGATGATGTCACGATGCTGCCCCTGCAGGAGCAGCACTGTCACCAAGGAGACGAGTCTCTGTTACAGAAGGCCCTGGATGAGAGCCGGGGAGAGAGTCAGTCAAGGACAGGCGAGGTGAGTTTAAAAACAAGTGTGTGGGAGCATACATGGTACACAAATGTGTATTTGCATGGAGAGGTGGGCGGGTGCATTTGTAGGTGGTGGTTGGCAAGCATTTAAAGAATGAGGCTTTTATGGTGTGGCCTGTGGGACAGGGGGGGAAAGAGACAAAAAAGACAGATTTGTATAATGAAGATTTGGAAGAGAAACAGTAAAGAGCTGAGGGAGGAGAAAGAGGTGCCTAGTGAATAGCAATCACTTTATCTTGTCTAACATTGAGCTCAGCATGACATTTACTTGAAAGCATGCTCCCTGTCATGTAGCGCACCATGTCCCATACTCACTGGCCTGTCAACAAGCCAATCAGAGTCACCAGCTTTCCTTTGTAAAGGTCTTCTACTAGATCATATTCTAATCTTATTATTATCCAGTACTTGCTTCACAGAAAAAACATGGAAGTCAGGATCAGGAACAAACAGTAAAGGAGAGCTCCTGAGCAGTTCGCTGACTAACATAATGCCTGATGTATTCACAAAGTTAGATACTAACACCAATCAGCCATAACATTATGACCACTGACAGGTGAGGTGAATAACATTATCTCATTACAGTGGCGCCTGCCAGTGTGTGGTGTACATTAGGCAGCAAACGAACATTCGATCTTTGAAGTTGATGTGTTGGAAGCAGGAAAAACAGACAAGTTTAAAGGATCTGAGTGACTTTGACCAGGGCCAGAGTGTGATGGCTGACGACTGGGTCAGAGCGTCTCCCAGACTACAGGTCTTGTTGGGTGTTCCTGGTCTGCAGTGGTCAGTACCTACCAACAGTGTCTAAGGAAGGACACACAGTGAACCAGGGACAGGGTCATGGACGCCCAAGGATCACTGATGATGAGGTTGATCTACTGGAGAATAAACTCAAATTTCATTCATCCTTTTCAAAAGATTCCATTTTATTTGAATCTTTTTTAAAATGGCTGAAAATGAGAAATTCTGTACACTGGTCTCTATGAAAAGAAACATTCAGCGGCTATAGTGGTGACGTTACACCTAAAGGAGGCTGGTGAATTTGTCTACAGAAATATGTCTAACTTGTCGTCAGGAAAACAGGTTTCGCTCCTTTTTTTTTTTTACTGAATGGTTGACACATCTGTGCTCTTCCTTTTATAGGGTGCGTTCCTCTGCTGAAGGGCTAGATGTCTGTCTGGCAAACAAAATTCACAATGCTACAAATCTGAAAATCATAGGTGCAAAACCTAAAACCTCTGGTCTCAGAGCAGCCAGAACTAACTAAGGAGTGGGATTGAAAGTTGTATCTGTTGACAGTAAATATTGCAGAGTGCAGTACTTGGATGTATACCAGACCCTGGAGCTTCTTTCCACTATTTATTTATTCACTGTTTAAGATACGGGTATGTGTTGATACATTTGTCTCTCTGGTATCAGCCTAAGTACGGTTGCCTGCTGTGCATGCACTGGAGGGTTCAAATTTTCATATCACATTTGTTTAAGTTACATATTGAACTACAACTGGCTTCCAAACTAGTTGTGATGTAACAAAACTGGGCTCATACAAACATGTTTTAGACTCAGATTTAGGGTGAATAAAGGGTGAATTTACATCCTCTTGTCTCTGCACTTATTTTTAAAAGTGACCTTCTTAAACTCATGAATGAGTGTTTAGCGACAAATCAAGAATACCCCCTGTGGGGTCCAAGCAGAACTCCCTACATGTACAAAGTTCAGAATAAATCCTTAAAACAGTTCATTTAATAATGCAGAGTTTAGGAGAGCTGGCAATGGAAGAAGAGAGATGGCTGTAGTAGTCAACATTTGTTCCAGACTGAATTTCCAACCCAGCAAGTCACTGTTAAAATGGAATATCTGGTATTATTGTTTCCTTTGAGTTATATTGATGATCATGATGTAAAAATGGGACATGTTTATGCATTTAAAATGTTTAAACACTTCAAAACAATAAGTATGTGCCTGTTTTATTTATGTGCTAATATGATATCACTTGATAATATAACAATTGTATGTGCAATTTTTGTGCCATTACAGTTTCCAATACCCACTCAAATCATTATTCAGCTTCAGCATGTATATTTTTACATGGAAAGTTTAGAAAAATCAAATAATATACTACACAATATAATGCCCTTTTATATTTTAATATTTTGTGTCATATTTAAAAGACGTTTTCATGTGAAATCTCGTGTTTAAATCACCTGACATTTTCTTATGCTGTATGTACTCTACAAACATTTTGGTGTCAAAGTGCAGTGACAAAGATTCCAGTAAACAAAAAACTAATATTTCTTAACATACTGCAGTGCTGTGTATTCTGCTCTGCAATCTCCGGTGCTGCAGAGGAATCTGAACAGAGACGTCCAGATGCAGGCTGAGAACTTTATGAAATGATGACACTTCTTCTGAATTATCTCAAGCACTTTTCACTGCATTATGTAGGTGGAATGTAATCTCATCTTGGCCATATGCAGTATGTGTATACACCAATGCCAAACAACAGGCACTGACAGTCCTGTTTTTATTAGCTTATTATAAATAGATCATTTAGCTTAAGAGGTATGATCATTTTCTCAGCCCATCAAGAAACATTATCTGCTGTTGCTTTAATATCCATTCACTGACACAAATGAGGAAACACAAGAGAAGGTTTGACTGTAAGAATTTTTTCCCCCCTCTGTAGTCAGCCATGTTGGACCTGGTGGACATATTTGGTTCTTCATCGGAGCCCCTGCCTCCCCCTAGTGACCCATGGAACTCAGCCCAGCCCACCTGTGATATCTCCTCTGACCCCTGGGACATTGTAGGTGAGTAGCTCAACACAGAAACACCTACACATCCACATGCACAAAGGCCAGTGCAATGCTAGAACTGCTATCTCTTGGCGCCCTGACAGATTCTACAAGCTGAAGTGTTTTTACTGCCTCAAACTGAGCTTTGTGTTTTTAATCTGTCTGCTATAACAGCAGTCCACTCAAGTACTCCTGTGATTGGTAGCCCTTGGACGGCCCCTCCCTCCTCTTCCAACACATCCAATCCTTGGGCTCCATGTTCCAACTCACGCAAAGACCCCTGGGACACAGTGCCTGTCTGCTCCAGTCCTGTCAATCATGTGTGGGACGGCTCAACAGATGGAGGTACCCCTCAGAAACACTAAGCATGTAGTTTTTGTTGCCTGTCAAAAATTGGAAGCACTATACTCAGCTTATTATTATACTGATTTAATCGGTTTTCATTTTCTTATGCAGGTGTTGATGGGTATGAGCCATTCACTGCACAGGATGAGGACAAGCCTAAAAAGGAGCTTCCTCGAGTGTCCTCCCCTCAGCCTGTCAGTCCCACAGGTAGTGTAGTAAAGGACAGCCAGTACTGTGGATTTTACTAAACATTTGAACCTAATTTGACAGTCACTGGAGATCTTATACTTTTTTCATGATAACTGTATTTATAGAGTACAGTATGAACAAAATTCCCTACCATGGTGTCAATACTTCAGATTTAGTGTGCACCGTAATGTGATGTATGACACGTACCAGACAAGGACACAGTGGAAAAAAATATGGGTAGAGTTTAATGTAATCTAATAGAACCACTGTAACAAATGCCTTATAATATTACATTTTATTTAAAACTAGTTTAAAATATTCCACGTTCCTAGAGCTAGCTTACGTGCCAGGGATCAACAGGTCCAGGTACCTGACCTAGCCAGTTGCTCGACTTGTACTGCACCAACCCCGATTCCTTTCCCTGCAGGCAGTGGGTCCATGTTATTTCTTCGGGCTGTGCCCGACCAAACCCCATGAGCCAGGGCCTGGCCACCAGATGCCCGTCGGTGAGCTCCCCTCCCAGGTCTGGTGCCAGCAGGGTGCCCTGGTTTCCTTAATCCATGCGTGGTAGCGCAATTCAAAGTGGCCATTTTCATCAGGGTTCTGAATCGCTCTTAGCCTGGTCCCTCCCCTGGAACCAATTTGCCTTGGAAGACCCTACAAGGGGCTAATGCCCCAGACAACACAGCTCCCAGGATCACTGGGACACACAAACCTCTCAATTTACAAGTCAGTCTACGCTACAACCATTGCCTATGGTTACAAGGTGTGGGTAGTGACCAAAAGAATAAGAACATGAATACAAGCAGCTGAAATGAGTTTTCTTCACAGACTGGTGACCTGTCCAGGGTGTAACTAACTCACCCGGTGACAGCTGGGACTGGCTCCTGTGCCCCCACAACCCTATTCAGGAATACGCAGTAGAGATAATGGATAGCGCTGTAAGGAGCAGAGTGTCATGACGGGGGAGTAGGACAGTGAAGAGGAGCCGCCTCCTGCCCCATGTTATCAGACAATGTGTAAAATCTTAGTTAATGCACCTTTAAAGAAAAAACCTTTATCGTATTTGCAGAGTAACTAAACAAATGCAGATGAGCTGAAGCTGTTCTGGAGGCTTGTAGTGGACCAACAACTTCCAAATGTTACTTTTTCATGCAGTTGTTCACCCATAAAGCACATATCATATTCCATCATAGCTATCCAGATGTTCTGTTTTTTCCTTGATGCAGATGTTGAGCTGTTTGGGGTAAAGCCAGACTCTGACCCATTTGCTGGAACAGACTCCAAGATACATCCATTTGGAACAGAGCCTGCAGTGAAACCCCAGGTGAATGGACGAGAGTCTGCTAGCCCAGAGATGTTTGACCTGTCCCGGCTGGCGCCTCCACTCAGTGTGCCACCTACACGTGTGTGTCGGACCCCAGAGGCCTTCCTGGGACCTACAGGGACCTCACTGGTCAATTTAGATGCCCTGATACCCCCCAACCACCCTAGCAAGATTCACAACAACCCATTTCTCTCAGGTAACAAGCTTTACTGCACTTACATACTGTGATATGTCTTTTCCAACTAACAGATAATCTTTTGTTCTCAGGTCTGAGTGCGCCGTCTCCCACAAACCCATTCCACTGCGACCAGCCTCGCCTCACCCTCAACCAAATGCGACCAGCCTCTACATCCCCGTTGCCTCCCCACATGCTCTCCTACAGCCCCTCCCTGCCTCTTCCTCTCACCCATCAGCCACCTATCCTCCCCTCCTCTTTCACACAACCTCCTGCCAGAGTCCGAGACCTTCCCTCTAACCTCCCGAAGCCCTTGCTTCCCCTTTCTCCACGGCCGCCACCCCACACTCAGTTGCAGACAGAAACACATGGCCACAACCCCTTCCTCTGAGACTCCTGCATCCTTTGAACTCTGTTCTACTGAGGGAGGTGACAGACTCAGTCTCTGCTCACTACAGTGAGACGAATTTAAATGAGCCTGAACCGGATCCTGGTTTGATGTCATTGTGCACACTTGAAGTGGATTAAACTTGGACTCGACGTACTCGTGTCTGTCTACAGACACGTTAGCTGCTATATAACCTGAACTCTTGAAGAAAAGCTAACTCACACATACACACGCACACACACACAAACATGCACTCAGGTGCACTTCAGGGTGCATATACACACACCACACAACTAACAGGGTGTAATTTAACAATCCCTTCTATGTCTGTTCCTCAACAACTCTGAGCACCCTTTGACCTCAGAGACCTTTTGAAGACTGGGATGAAGCCACACACTTTGATTGTCCACCAGGATCCTTACCGCTGCTGCTTCACCGACAAAAGCATGAATGCATCCCCCACACCTTCTATACCCCCGAAGACACCAAACTATTCAATTGTGCTGAGTACTTGAGATGAGTTCTTCAAATAAATTCTGTTTATTTGATGAGTCAGACAGTACCTTGAGCTTTCTTGGCACAACTGCATGGCTGGAAATGGATCTAAAAGTTTGTTGGATTCAAGAACACCATGAACACCACTAAACCAATCTAAGCTAGACCTTACTGTGTCAATCTGGACCTAAACTGATCATTCATTTTACGCTGTCGGACCTGTGTGCCTGTCTTTACAGCTGACAAACAATGCACTCCTGGCTGGGTCGTATTGGCGGCACTGAGGAGGACCTCAGGGAGACTGATCTGACGCTCCTGCAATGAGATTTAACTTCAGTGAATGGAAGGGCATTTATTTACAGAAAAAACAAAATGGGGAGCTCAGCGGCTTAATTTTAGATGAAGGGTGATGAGAACAGATTGGGGAGGGAGGGTTAATGAAAGTTTAATATGAAAAAGATAAAATGACAGAAGATGAACTGATGTATAGAGCGGTAGCTCCATTCCTCTGCTCGACAGGATCTGTGACAAGATTTTTGGTCATCACTGCACTAAGTGGATTTGAACGCCTGCCTAATAGATACACACAGGCTTAGTACATATGTATTTAACAGAATGATACCTATACAGTATTATAAAATATACCAATAAATAAATGGTGTTTGCATTATAATTTCTAAAATGTTCATGTGACTTACTGATGAGTCAGTCATTCATGTGTTCCTTCATGACAATGTCACAAAGAGATGCACGTTTTCAGACATTTTGGGCCATTTTCTGTTCCCAGCTTGCTGATGACGTGGGCGCCTGATGTTCATTTTGTTTTTGGCTAGTCCAGCTTGCTGTAACTGATTTGACATAGGGTGTAATAGCCACTAATATCAAACATCACCTCACATACACCAGTCCTACCGTTTGAGGATAGAAAATGCAAGTACTGCATAAGAAATTCCCTTACTGCATTAGTAGGTTTTGTGTGTAAAGGGTTACATCATTTTCCTGCAAAATGTCCAAGTCTATCACAGCCCAGTTCATTCTTTAAAGTAAAATGGTGGAGTGACATTTTGCTGCTAACACAGAGCTACAAACTTGACTGTTATGTCCATCAATCACATTTCTGATGTAAACAAAGCTTTTGCAGAATCTCACAAACTCAGTCAATCTATTTAGGAATACAGGTTTCAATCCAGTATTTTAAATTATGGTGGTGAGGGACTTTTTGCCAATTTAAATCACTGGATGAAAGCATATACAGTATCTGCACATATGAAGCAATTTAGGTGATGATCCTTGCTTTGTTAAAAGTCATGAGACCGATTTATAAAATCTGATTTTTGTGTTGATTTGTATATAATTTCACAAAAAGGAGATAATTGTATTCACAGGCAATGTGAAGTCTCTAATTAGACTAGCTGACCTGGCTGGTACTGGACGCCTCTGATATTTTTCCACAACACTGACTGAATCAATGCAACTACAACCGACTAAACCACCTGCCTCTTTACAATCTGTCAAAAAACAGAACATACCGCTCCTGTTGCTGATAAAAATCTACCTTCTCCTGCTCATGCGACTTAAAGAAGAAAAAAATATCTTGAGATAACTCTGACTTTAACATATGGTATAACCTCAGATATGATAATGTGGACGATTACATAAGTTTTGGTGAAGTTAAAAATGACGGTTAGAGGTCTTAACAATGAACTGCTGCTTATTTTTTTTTGGTCAGCATCAAGAAGATGGTTCTGTAGTTTCCCCAAGGTCTCCAACTATAGACAAAACAGTGTCAAATCTAAATATTCAACAGTTTTGATAAGATCTAGCCCCAGTCATTCTTCGCATGGTGAACTGTGAACACCCTATGTTAGAGAAAAGGTAAAAAATAAATTGATGTTAACTGCCAACCACATTTTGTTCTGCAATCCAGGTAAAGAGCAAAGCCCCAAAGACCGTTTTTCACAACAGGATGCCAAGAGATTGCGTCACTGGTCTCAGTGAAGTGTGGGTCCATAGGGACGTTCTGGTGCCTGAATGTGGAAGAAAACACTTACATTCAATGAATAACTTTGCCAGCATTTAAAGAATAAAAACAACTGCAAGCACATAACAAATACTCTACTAATTCAAATCTCATCAGTAGAAGGTAGTCACTGTTCATGATTCCACTGGTATTGTCTGTCAGTTTCACGGTGTAGGACTCATCCTTCATCCGGATAAGGTGTTGTCTGGTCTCAGAACTGCGTGGGTCACCCCAGCACTTTTCAGGCCATTCAGAGCTGTAGCCAACTAAAAATACCAAAGTCATCAATGGATTTAAGAGCATGTTCCACAGTTAAAAGGCTGAGTCACACCTGCATTTAAAATGGTAAGCTTTGCAGCAAAATCCAAGATACACTTTCATGCTACAGTTAATGATAGGTGAAGGATATACAAAACCAAACAGTTTAATATATAGACCAGCATACACAGGTCTTTTTATTTGAACACACTGTCCCTTGGTGATCATTTCTGCTGCAGCCATCATCAGTATCAGACTCTTATTTCAGGATGTCCTGGCCAGGTTTTGTCATGCTACTTTGATTTCATCCACATTTCATGGCTACAGTTACACTTAAACCATAAGCAGCCTCCATGAAAATTAATCAAGAAGTCTACCTACAGTGTGCTCGACACCAGAACAGCTCTGCTTTAACCCAAAGCCGCAGCTTTTCTTCGAGTTTCCTTTCATATTTTTGCTCTGTGACCACTAGGTGGTAGTATTGACCGTTTTTGCACCTTGCAGGTTTTCTTTCCAGCTACTGTTCAGTGATAATTTTTAATAAGATACATTCAATGGCCTGGTAACAGTTGATCTGCAACCACGTGTATGCAGATTTTTACTCCAACTGAACACTGCAGCACTCAATGGCACAGACAATGTCCGAGCATTACATTCTCTGAACACTGGATTAACTGTGCTGCAAACATCTGTCATTCTAGCAGCTTAAAAAAAAAATTCCACGAGTATAGCATGTCATACACAGAAGCACGGGAGAGAAGGAAAAAGGATGAAAGCAAGCTGCCATTATTTGCATGAAAAGAGAACATTTTCACCTGAATATAGAACTTTAGATGAATCAATAACATTGGATAATACTGAGACCTCATCTCCAATCTCCATTGGATAAGGTCCCTTTAAAGCTCCAGCAAGTCACGTTATTAAGACTGGCAGCTCCTGGGGGTACTATCAGAACCTCCACACACTGTTACCTTCATCTTTTTTAAAATAAGATAAGATTAAAATGTCTTCTTTTATGATGGCAATATGGAAATACAAGGTTAATATGGCTGTAAAACTATCTTAATATTATGGCGGGTGTGTGCTGTGGACCCCAGATGCAGGAACTAGGGTAAGCAGTTTATTGAATAACGGACTAGTATGCTGAGTGGCAGGAAGTCTAGCAGGCTCAGGGCTGGCAGGCGATGCAGCGGGCAACAGAGGACCAGTAAGGCAAGGAACCAGGAGGATGGGCAGGTGAGCAGGCATCAGGTGAGACGACAGGAGGGACACAGGAACCAGAGGACCGGGAGGTGTCAAGCAGCTGGCAGTCAGGTAGGCAGAGTAGCAGTGGCAGTCAGGTTGCTCCAGGTGCGTGTGTGCTTGTGTCAGAGCCCGGCATGATCCGAGGACATGAACCTCCACTGGGTGTTCCCCCTTGTGTCAGAGCCCGGCATGATCCGAGGACATGAACCTCCACTGTTGTATCTTTATTATACTTCTTTCATTTGTTGTTTTAAAGTGTCTTAGACCGAGGACATGAACCTCCACTGGGGGTTCCCCCTTGTGTCAGAGCCCGGCATGATCCGAGGACATGAACCTCCACTGTTGTATCTTTATTATACTTCTTTCATTTGTTGTTTTAAAGTGTCTTAGATTTGTGTTACTGCTTATCTACTTTATATTTCACTTGTTCTGTGTGGCATTCATGTGGACTGCAAAGTAAGAATTTCATTGTACAGGGAAACATGTTTCCTAACTCTACACATGACAATAAACACTTTTACCTTTGACCTTGACCTAACATCACCCCCAGCAAATGTTTTATGTACTATACAACAGTAAGCCCCTTATGAATAGACCAAGATCTAGTCCCGTGACGTCGCCCGGCATGGCGCAGCCGGGGCCCCACCCTGGAGCCAGGCCCGGGGTTGGGGCTCGAATGCGAGCGCCTGGTGGCCGGGCCTCCCCCCACGGGGCCCGGCCGGGCTTAGCCCGAACGAGTGACGTGGGGA